TTTCAGCAAATTGAACAACTAGATAGCTACATGCAAAGGAATACTGTGCTCCTTCCTACTCCCATCCACAAAAATTAACTCAAAATGGATTAAAGACCTCTGTGTAAAAGTTAAAACTAAAAAACTTTTAGGAGTCAGTCTCTGTGACCTTGGATGAAGCAATGGTTTCTTACATATGACACCAGAAGCACAAGAGACAAAAGAAAAAACAGATGAATTGTACTTCACTGACATTAGTGACTCGGTTGATTGGGTGTCATTCTGCAAAGAGGTCATTGGTTCGATTCCTGGTCAGGGCACATGCCTGGGTTTCTGGTTCAGTCCTCAATCGGGGCATGTGTGAGAGGCAACCAATCAATGGTTCTCACATCAGTGTTTCTCTCCCCCTCTTTCTCCCTCCCTTTCCCTCTTTCTAAAAATAAATAAATAAATAAATAAAATCTTAAAATAAAACAACTTTTGTGCTGCTAAAGGACCTGAAAAGATAACCCACAGAATGGGAGAAAGTATCTGCATATCATGTATCTGAGAAGTAAATGATATCTAAAATATATAAAGAACTATTAAAACTCAATGATAAAGAGATGAACAACCAAATTAAAAAAGGTGTAAGTGGCCCTGAAAAGTGTGGATTTAGTGGATTGAGTGGAAGGCTATGAACCAAAGGACTGCTGTTTGGATTCCTACTCAGGGCACATGCCTGGGTTGCAGGCCAGGTCTTCAGTAGGGGGCACATGAGAGGCAACCACACACTGATGTTTCTCTCCCCCTCTCTAAAAAAAATAAATAAAATTTTAAAAAATTTTTTAATTGTGTAAATGATCTGAATAGACTTTCTCCAAAGAAGCTATACAAATAGCTAATAAATACAAGATGCCCAACACGTTAGTCACCAAGAAAATGCAAATTAAAACCACAATGAGATACCATCTCATACCCACCAGGATGTGAGACTCAAAAAAATAAAAAATAGACTGGTGTTGTCCAGATGTGAAGAAATTTGAGCTCACATATGCTGTAGGTGAGAACGGAAAATGGTACAGCTAATGTGAAAACCAGTTTGCCAGTTCCTCAAAATGTTCAATGTGTAGTTACCATGACCCAGCAATTACATTCCTGGTGAAACATGTGCCACATAGACACCTGTACATGTGCAGTCATAGCACAACTGTTCACAACAGAGAAGAGGCAGAAAAACCTCAAAGGTGCATCAAGTGGGAAATAAATACACAAAATGTGGTCCATCCATACAAGATTATTCAGCCATAAAAAGGAATGAAGCACAGACACATGCTATATGAACGTTAAAAATACCGTGCTGAAAAAAACCAGACATCAAAAAAACACATCGTGAAAGATTGCATTTATATAAAACGTCCAGAAGAGAAAAATCCACAGAAAGAAAGATTAGTGGTTGTCAGAGGGTGGAGGGAGAATGGAGAATGACTGCTAATGCGTACGGGGTTTCTTTTTTGGGGTGATGAAAGTGCTGTAATCTTACACCACAGTGATGATTGTGCAATTGTGAATAGACTAAAATCAGTTAATTTGTACACACAAAATGGGTGAAATATACAGTATGGAATCTCAACAAAAAAAGGAGCCACACAGTGGGTACGTGAGGGAGTGGAGAGAGAAGCTGGGTGTGAGAGATGTGGGGGTGTGGGGGTAGCAGTCACTTTGGGGCCAGCATGGGGCCTTTGGGGCCTTTAATCAAAGGCAGCCTGACCCAGCGTGGCATGTTCTAGGATGCTGGCAGTGCGGGTGACACTACCCACACCCAGCTTGGGCAGTGACCAAGAGCAGGGCAGGATAAGACTAATGGGGAGGGAGCTGCTGTGGACCATGGCTCAAAAGAGGTACGGCTGGAAGAGAGCCAGGGAGACAGAAGATGAGGGTGGGGTGCAGGATAGAGCCTTTGCACTTGCTGTTTCCTCCACCCAAGGAACTCCTCAGAGAAGTTCCTCAGGCCCACCCTGGCTAAGGCAGGCCCTGGTTAGCCCAGGTCCCACCATTCACCACAGTGGAATTCTGGTGTGAGGTGACAGTGAACTCAGACAGGGCCACAGCCATGTGCACACTGAACTAGTTAATGAACAGAGTTCATAAACAAAGACCACAGCACCAGAGGGGTATTTTCCTCACACCTCTGCAGCCAAGAAAGTACTGGGGTGGGTTGGTATATGCTACAATGGAATTTGGTATAAAGGGATGTCATCAGGAGAGCCAACCCCAGGGAATGGCACTCAGGACCGACAGGAGGTACAACTGTGACACGAACAGAAAGAAGTCCAGTATAAAGCATCGGTTTGTGACTTTATAAAAAACAAAACAAAACAAAACAACCATGCTGACTGGGGAGAGCACAAAGAGGCCCATTGGCTGGAATCCTTCTGCAGCCTGGTCTGGGTACAGGTCACACAGGTGCATATGTGTAAACAGATCTCGTATGGCACACCTATGGGGTGCACTGGTCTGGGTGTTGTGTTATACCACGAGAGAAAAAGAGACTCAGATTATATTAGATTCATTTAATCTGCTCCAGGATGAATTGAGTGCCCACATGGTGCTAAATCTAGCCTGTAACCTGTTTTTTTCTCGTTGTTTTTTAAGATTTTATTTATTTTTTAGACAGAGGGAAAGGGAGAGAGAAAAAGAGGGAAACATCAATGTGTGGTTGCCTCTCACACAACCCCCACCAGGGACCTGCCTACAACCCAGATATGTGCCCTAACTGGGAATGGAACTGGGGACTCTGTAACCTGTTTCTGTATGGCCCTTGGGGTAACACTTTTAGATCTGTAAACAGTTTTTTTTTTTAAAGGAGTTTGTGTTTTTTTTTTAAAGGAGTAGCAGTGTCTACCTGGCAAGTAAAGCATAAAATATTTTTTAATGCCATTTCATCATAGTCTGCAGTTCTTTTTTTCTTTTAAACATTTTATTCATTTATTTTTTTAATTAAAAAAATTTTTTATTTATTTATCTTTAGAAGGGGAGGAGAGAAATATCAATGTATGGTTGCTTCTGGTGCATCCCCTGCTGGGAACTGGCCCCTGCTGGGAACTGGCCTGCAACCCAGGCATGTGCTCTGATGGGGAATCTAACTGCGATCTTTTGGTTCGCAGGCCCGTGCCCCATCCACTGAGCTACACCAGCCAGGGCTCATAAAATATTTTTTTAAAAACGATTTTACTGCCCTGGCTGGTGTAACTCAGTGGATGGAGCACAGGCTGAGAACCAGGTGGTCACTGGTTGGATTCCCAGTCAGGGCACATGCCTGGGTTGTGGGCCAGGTCCCCAGTGGAGGCCACGTGAGGCAGCAACACATTAGTGTTTCTCTCCCCTTTTCTCCTTCCCTTCCCCTCTCTCTAAAAGTAAGTAAATTATACCTTTTAAAAAAAACATTTTTTTGGTTTATTTTTAGAGGGAACCATCACTATGTGGTTGTCTCTCATGTACCCCCTACTGGGTACCTGGCCTGCACAACCCAGGCACATGCCCTGACTGGGAATTGAACCAGCAACCCTTTGCTTCGCAGTCTGGTGCTCAATCCACTGAGCCACACCAGCCAGGTAAAGCATAAAATATTTATCTGGCCCTTTATTAAAAAAAAAAAATTTGCCTCCCTGACTAGTGTGGCTCAGTTTTGTTAGGTGCTGCCCTGCAAAAAAAAAAAAAGTCTGCCAGTTTGATTCCCAGTCAGGGTACATGCCTGGGTTGGGTGCAGGTCCCAGGTAGACGAAAGGCAACCAATCTGTGTTTCTCTCTCCCACTACTTCTTCCTCTCTAGAAACAAAAATAAAATCTTTAAAAAAAAGTTCACCAACTTCTGTTCTGGAATACAAAAAAAGCCAAGAAAGGGAGGAAGAATATGCATTTTCACTAAACATTAACTTTCCTGCTGTCTGAATCATGACTTTTTAAACCATGTCCATGATTTAAAAAAAAAATTAAGACATAATTTGCAGGATATGCATATTTTAAAGTTTCATGATTTTCTGCAAATGTATCCATCTTTAACATGTTTTTTTTTTTTTTAAGATTTCACTTATTTTTAGAGAGAAGTGAAGGGAGATATAGAGAGAAGAGAAACATCAATGCGTGGTTGCCTCTCACGTGCCCCCTACTGAGGACCTGGCCTGCAACCTAGGCATGTGCCCTGACTGGGAATGAAAACACCAACCACTTGGTTCACAGGCTGGCACTCAAGCCACTGAGCCACACCAACCAGGGCCACCCTTAACATGTTTTAAATTTCTTTGTATTTCTTTGTTAATCCTGGGTGTGGAGTATGAATGCCTTTTACTTCCTTTCTTACATTTTTCTATGACGAATGCAACAGCAAATTTTTTTAAAAAATTACTTAAAACATTGGAAATACTTAAGAATACATATTCCAGGGATATGCTGCAGGTGGGGACACCAACAAGGATCCACCACATAGAACAGCTTTTAAATTCCTTCGGTGTTCTGAGGTTTGGCCCCCGCTTTACTATAGGTCATCCTGGCGGGGAAGGTCGCAGCCTCTCTTGGGCCCGTTTCCCCACCTGTAAAATGGAAGCACGGAAAAGGGCTAGGGACGCATACTATACTAATTTCCGCTTAACCTATTGTGAAATGGGAATAATTAACAAGACTGACTTCAGACATGTTAAGAGAAGAAATTTAAAAACTTAGTAACTGTTCGACAAATTTCAGTAGTTACCCTTGCTACCACTGACAGTATGTGGGATTTCCGGACTCCGCCTCGCATCACACTGCAGATAGACTGAGGCCTGTTAGTTTCCCCAGCGTCCCGCCCCATTTGCGGCACCCAAAAGTCCCAAATTTTGACACTCGGCGCAGACAGACACTGACCCGATAGTCCCCGACGCGGAAGGTTCCGTTTGTAGTCGATGGGGCCGTAGCCCCCCGGCGGGGGCATGTCCTGTTTCACCTTCGAGGCCGCCATGTTCACAGGGTTCTACACTTCCGGTCGTGGACGGAAGTGACGTATCAGATGCCGCCGCCACAATGAATGCGCGCAAGCTATAGCGCAGGTCTAGAGGAGGGCCGGGGAGCCTAGGGCGCTTGTGTAGCAACTGTTCAGCGCCGGAGAGCTCGGGATGCGATACTCTACGCGGCCAAAGAATTGTTATTTCTTCTCCAAGATGGGGCGCAGCTCAGTCGGTGTGGGCTTCTGGAGGCCGTCGGGTCACCCGTGTCCTTGCATCAAACGACCTCCCATTCACTTTCCCTCTGGGGGGATGTGCAGGGCAATCAAACTGCCGAGAGAGCCGCTTCACCGAGCTAATCCCCCTTACTCGTTTTCTCCCCCTCCGGGTTTGTGCGGGCTGGGTACAAGAAGTTGGGTGGGGGCTGCTGCTGCTCATATTTGGACTTGCGAGGAGCCACCCCAACCCCAGGCACGGATTCTGCTCCTTGGTAGTGGTAGGAAGCCCTTCCTTGTTAGTAGCCTCTCATCGGGAACTGGACCATTCAGAGCGATTATGAGTCACAAAGCCATAGCGCCCTGGGGAGCCTCCTTTCTTAGGCGGGGTGACGCCCGCGGGGCCCCCACCCCGAAGTGAGGTGACGCCCGCGGTCACTTCACAAGGCAGAAATTGTTACCCGGGCAATAAAAGGCACAGCGGCAGAGGGGGCCGAGGAGTGGGCACATGGGGGTGCAGGTGTGCAGGTGCCAAGCACCATGGGTTAGGCCCGAGATTGGAGTCCGGCCGCCCCCGACAGCAGCCGCCTCCTGCTCCCTGCGCCCCAGGCGCCATGTCGGGCGACAAACTCCTGAGCGAGCTCGGCTATAAACTGGGCCGCACGATAGGTGAGGGAAGTTACTCCAAGGTGAAGGTGGCCACGTCGAAGAAATACAAGGGCACGGTAGCCATTAAGGTGGTGGACCGGCGGCGCGCCCCGCCAGACTTCGTCAACAAGTTTCTGCCGCGCGAGTTGTCCATCCTTCGAGGCGTGCGGCACCCGCACATTGTGCACGTCTTCGAGTTCATCGAGGTGTGCAACGGGAAGCTGTACATCGTGATGGAGGCAGCCGCCACCGACCTGCTGCAGGCCGTGCAGCGCAACGGGCGCATCCCCGGGGGTCAGGCGCGCGACCTCTTTGCACAGATAGCCGGTGCCGTGCGCTACTTGCACGACCACCACCTGGTACACCGCGACCTCAAGTGCGAAAACGTGTTGCTGAGCCCTGACGAGCGCCGCGTCAAGCTCACCGACTTTGGCTTTGGCCGCCAGGCCCATGGCTACCCTGACCTGAGCACCACCTACTGCGGCTCGGCAGCCTACGCATCGCCTGAGGTTCTGCTGGGCATCCCCTATGACCCCAAGAAGTACGACGTGTGGAGCCTAGGCGTTGTGCTCTACGTCATGGTTACCGGATGCATGCCCTTCGACGACTCAGACATCGCTGGCCTGCCAAGGCGCCAGAAGCGCGGCGTCCTCTACCCCAACGGCCTCGAACTGTCTGAACGCTGCAAGGCCCTAATCACGGAATTGCTGCAGTTCAGCCCGTCGGCCAGACCTTCCGCAGGCCAGGTAGCGCGCAACGGCTGGCTGCGCGCTGGAGACTCCGGCTAAAAGCCGGGGTCCCCCTCTCCTCGTCTCCCCAAGCACTGCGCAAGCGCTGCGCATGCTTGGCGCACGCTCGGGAGGCGTGTTTCCAGAGTCCTGCGACGCCAAGCGTCCTTTCCCCTTTTCCCTCTTCCTTGACCGCGGGGCCGTGATCGATTCGGTTTCGAATCCAGTTCCTCCTGCACGATTTGGAAAGCAGGAGGTTGCATGCACATCCTCAATTCCCTGCAAGAAGGCCCCAGGAAGGGACAGGACCAGAGGATGCGGAAGCATTGCGCCTTGCGCGGAATGAGCGACGGTTGTGCAGCCGGAATAGGCTTCCTTGAGCAGCTGCCGGCGAGGGCAAGCACCGGGGATGTGTCGGTTCTCAGCTTGTGGCTGAGGCGGTCGCGGGACGGCGCCCTCCGGGCGCCACCCTGGTTGTAATTTGCAATAAACTCGCTCTGTCTCGCACCTGGGCTCTAGCGATGGCCACCTTTTACGGATTGGTGTGAGGGGGGGTTCTCTCCCCCGGAAGGCAGGCGCCTAAGCTCTGTTTTATGGAAAGGTTTGTAAAGGTTCTTGCTACAGTTCTCAAAAGGGAGTTGGGGGATTAGAACCCGGACCATTTGCCGCCCCCCTCCCATCCTGGGAAGGGTCCAGGGGGCTTTAAGGTCATCCCCGGCGTCGTGATGGCCCCGGGAATAGAGTTGCTGGGCTGGGGAGCAAAGGCCCAGCATCTTTCTTGTGTTTCAGAAGGCGCTGTGTTGACGTCGACTGAGCGTTCACAGACGAGGAATTTGAGGCCCACATATATGTCACGTGCCCCAGAACACAGCTGGGGTTTGAACCCAAATATGGCTGAAGGTGGGAAGGTGGTGGAACCTCTTCTTAGTGAGGGCCCTTCCTTAGGCTAACGGTGGGGCAGGTCAAAGGTGTGGCATAAATCTGCCAGGCAAGCTGATTCGTTCAGTCTTCATTCAACCATTTATTGAATGCCTGCTGTGTGCCAGACTCTGAGACTTAGAAAAGGGGCTTAGATTCATCTCTGCCCTCAGTGAGGAGGCAAGTGAAAAGTAAAAAGTTACTTGGAAATCTAAAAATTGTCAGTTGTACTAAATGCTAGGTTGGGGGTGACAACCTGAGGGATTGAAGGAGATATCTGAGCAGAACCCTGAAGGAATCAGACATTGGAAACAGCAGGAAGTTTTTCTTGAGTTCCCAAACAGGATGGAGCTGATGTGTTTGAGTAATGCCAGGAAGCTCCTGTGGCTGGAATGGAGAGGAGGTGGAGAGGTAAAGGTGTATTGTCTGGAGAGGGGACCACACATGGCTTGGAGGAGTGTGGGGATTATTTTGCTAGGATGAGGTTACTGGTATGGGAAATGTCTCCCTAAGTCTTAATTCTACCTGCTCCACCTGAGGTATGGTCCAGGTACCTCTCCTGACCTGGACCATACCTCAGGATCTGCACCTGGAAAACAGAGTCAGGAACTCAACCTTGCGGTTGTTGGAAGGGCTGTGGCATTGCACTCAGAATAAAAGTCACGTCTTCACCCCTGTTTCCCACCATCCAGCCACATTGCCCTCATCCTCTCCCTGCCAGGCTTGGTCTAACCTGAGACTTTTCACTGGCTGTACCCACTCCCAGCAATACTTTTCTCCTTTTCATTCAAGACTTGGCCTACCAAGCTTACCTCCTCTGTCACTATTCTTTTTTTCTTAATACTCACTTGATATGTTTGTTGATTTTAGAGAGAGAGGAAGAGAGAAACATCCATCAGTCTGAAGCCACAACTCAAGCACGTCCTGATGGGGAATCAAACTAGCGACCTTTTGCTTTGTAGGATGACAGCCAGTCAACTGAGCCACACTGGTCAGGACTGTCACTATTCTTCACTTTGCCCTTGTCACAGGTTTGATCCAATGCCTGGGGTGTGGCATATGCTTATTTCTGTCCTTCACTAGTGAATCTGCATAAGCAATGAGCCAAGGTATCCTCCCACCCCATGGCCATGGCTTGGTTTAGGGAGGGACAGTCTTGGAACCAGATGTGAGTGTCCCATTTGTTAGCTGGAAAAACTGAGACTCGCCCCCTGGGTCTGCCAAGAAGCCTTTGGTTGATCCAGCAAAGATTCACCTGAGGGCTAAGAGCAAAGCCCCTGAGAAAGCATCCTGTAAGTGCACTTCTTGCAGCCAGTGTTAGAGCATAGGGCAGCAGTCAGTGTGTCACACGTAGACTGGTTTGGGTTTAACTTTTGTCAGCTCTGTGCCTGCCCAGGTGAAACCAAACTGGCTGTTGGGGAAGGCAGTGCTCACTGCCAGAGGCAGGAATACCTTAACAACAAAATCAAGAACCAGCAAAATAAATAAATAAATGCGCTTAGGAAAACAGTGGTAACATTTTGAAATTAAACACAGGGCTCATGTTATGAATAAAATTTGAAGCTGTTAACCTCTGAAAACAGATTTTCAACAAGAAATTGTTCATTTCAGGGAATTGAACAAATTGTTTAATTGTTCACCCTGGATGGGTGGCTCCCTTTGTACTTAAAACCTGCATCTGTAATATTGTGTCCTGCAGCAAAGACACAATGGGGAACCAAGCCTGAAAGCACTTCAGAAAAACCTACCATTCAAGGGTGGATACTGGAAGGGGCTAAGAGCCAAAATGGGAAAAACCCACTGGAGTCTCACCACACTCCCCCAGGCCTTAAAGCCCATGGTTGTGGTGGAGATGGAGAGCTGGAGGCGAGACCATAGCACCCAGTTGGGGAGGACTCCCTATCCATGGAAGTAAAGTCCAAATGAAGTCCAAGGTGCAGATGTCTCATTCTTTGCTTCTTCCCCCTTAATAAAGGGCTACCGCCCTGGCTGGTGTAAGTCAGTGGACTGAGCATGGGCCTGTGAAGCAAAGGATCACCGGTTCCATTCCCAGTTGGGGCACATGCCTGGGTTGTGGGCCAGGTCCCCAGTGGGGGACACGAGAGGCAATCACACATTGATGTTTCTCTCCCACTCTTTCTCCTCCCCTTCCCCTCTCTAAAAATAAAATTTTAAAAAATAAATATAGTTACCTTGCTGCACTTATCCAAGTTTCCAACCTGCTCCACTGCTGGACTAAATAATGCAGGAAAACCAGGACTGAGGGGCCAAAAGAGAAATATAGCCAACTTGTCATCCACTTCTCTAATCCACTTCCCAAAAAACCTTGCAGTGTTGTACCTGTTTATTATACTTTGTTAAGGATTATAAAACTTTAGCTATAAAAAAATCTTCAAGTTCTTCAGGCAAGTGTCATGTGCAGTATACAACTCAGAATTTAAAAAAGGAAACCCTATGGTGGAGCATCAAAGACCGTCATTTCCATTATTTCCACCCCTGTGATGAGAATGTTTACCTTACACAGAAAATTCCTCCCTGGTGTGGCTCATTTGGTTGCAGCATTGTCCCTTTTACTGAAAGGTTGCAGGTTTGCACATGGAAAGCAACTGATTGATGTTACTGTGTTACTGTCTCTTTCTCTCAAATCAATAATTGTATCCTCAGGTGAGGATTTTTAAAAAGCCTACTGGAGTTAAAACTTCATCTCCCTGCCCATAGGAGTGACCAGAGGGACTCGTGACAAGGCTGTACTCAATTGCTTCTTTTATTCTCTCTGCACTAGTGAGAGCTTTTTGTTCCAAGGTCTTGGAGGAGAGGCTCCTGGTGTAGGGCCATTTTCAGCCTTGTCAAAGATGTGGGTCCACGCCCTAGCTGGGTAGCTTCAGTTGGTTAGAGCATTGTTCCAATATGCCAAGGTTGTGGGTTTTATCTCAGTCAGTGCACATACAAGCGGCAACCAATGAATGCATGTTGGTAAAACGACAAATTGGTATCTCTTAAAAAAAGGAGCTCTGGCTTCAGAGTTAAGACACTGGATTAGACAAGGGCAGGATGGCCAGAGCCATGGGTAGCTCTTAAGTGGGCATACATGTATCTGTGCACTTACACATTGACACACTCGGTGCTTCAAACCTGCTCCCTCATCAAAACTGGGAATGAGCTTTGTAGGCCCCATGCTCCAGTCACGGGGCAGCTGACGTGTTAAAGTTTCCGGTCGCTGTCGGGTTTGTGTCACAAATAATTAGAGACTATTACCATCATTTGGGCCTAGGGCCTCCCACATTCTCACTGCTTCTGGAAACCAGGATTCCTCAGTCCTGATGCTCCTGAGACCAGGACCCCAGTGCTGTGGCAGATTTTGAGGGAGTGAACTTTGCTGCTGGGAGAATACCCTTACCATTGACATCCTTTCCTAGTATGTCCAAACTCCACATGCAAAGAGGTATTGATCATATTTTGCTGGGCATAATGCACAACCGAAGTTTTGTGTGCATTATACACGATATTATATAGCCATGGCATGCAATCATTATACTTAATGTATAATGCACATCTTAATTTTTCCCCTCAAAAATTTGGGCACTACCTGGCTGGTGTGGCTCAGTGGATTGAGTGCAGCCTGTGAACTGACAGGTTGCTGGTTTGATTCCCAATCAGGGCATGTTCCTGGGTTGTGGGCCAGGCCCCCAGTAGGGGGTGTGCACAAGAGGCAACTGATTGATCTAGCTCTAGTACATCACCCTTTCTCCCTCCCTTCCCCTCTTAAAAAAAAAAAAAAAAACACCAATTGGGACAAAAATGTGTGTATTAACATGGCAAAATACAGCTCTGGCTGGTGTGGCTCAGTGGATTGAGGTGGCAACCTGCAAACCAAAGGGTCCCTGGTTCAATTCCCAGTTGGGGCACATGGCTGGGTTGCAAGTCAGGTCCCCAGTAGGGAGCACGTGAGAGGCAACCACATATTAAGATGTTTCTCTCCCTCCCTTTCCCTCTTTCTAAAAATACGTAAAATCTTAAAAAAAAAAAAAAAAAAAAGGCAAAGACCTTTAACTTAATCACATAACCACCCATTTGGGGTTTGTCAGATGTTACACGGCAATGTGGGAAACTGAAGAAAAAGGGAGGAGGTAGGAGTTACAAAACAGAACTGAACTAAAGATTAAAGCCTCTCATGTAGTTGCTCCCTTTTTTAAAAAATATTTTACTTTTTAGAAAGGGGAAAGGAAGGAGGGAGAGAAACACCAATGTGTGGTTGCTGCTTGTGTGCCCCCCACTGGCCTGCAACCCAGGAATGTGCCCCTGACTGGGAATTGAACCAGAGACCCTTTGGTTCACAGCCTGCTCTTAATCCAGAGCCACACCAGACTGGGCGTCTTGCTCCCCTTTTAAAAAAAGCTACGTTTCTACCACAGTAGGTCCTCCCTGATGGGAATGTGCCTGAGTGTTAACTGGAGAAGGCAAAGCCAGGGCGCAGCTGTCCTGTCCAGCCAAGGTGGTATGGCCAGGCAAGCTGAGATGACATGTGGTTCCTAAGCATGTGATGAGCCAGGTTCTGATGGTGCTGGGGACCAACATATGCCCTTGAGTCACAGACCCAGTCAACCCAACTGGGAGTATAACAATCCTGGCACAACCCTCCAGTGCAAAGAGACCTTGGCCCAGACACCTGATCCCATTATTGCACAGAACTGAGGTCTATTTGCTGGGGGTGGCCAGCCAGTGGTGCTCCTTGTTGGGGGATTTGGAAAGATTGGCCCAGGTAACTGAACAGAGAGGGATAGCAGCTCAGGGTAGTATAAGACAGGTATTTATTTACCAGGCACACAGAAAAATGCAAGGAATAGAAATGCTTACATATTCTTTTGGGTTTTTGGTGTATGAACACACCCTTTCCCCTTCACTCCTGAATGTTAATTTCCCTCTTTCCCCCCAAATCCCTGGATCTTAATGAAAGCCACCCTTCCCTGCCCTCCCCTCCTTC